CAATATTAAATATAAAGAAACTCTAACAAATAAATATAAAAGAAGTTATGTTTGCTCAATTTAGATATTGCCCGTGACTCATTGAAAATGTCAAAAGACAGAATTGGCACAAAACTTACTTGTTATTATGAGACGGATTAAACAATTTAAACACATGAGGATGTCTTTATTATTTTATGATAATGATAAAATAATGGAAAAAGGAATGCTTACTTCAAGACATTTGTGGACGTTTCAGTAAGGTATGTGGTCTTAATAGCTGAGTATTCGTATCTTTACATATAGCTATTAAATGGTTATTCAAGATGAATTAAAAAAACAATGTTTTCTTGTTGCTTAGATGGTAAACAAATAAAAGAACAAAAAACTTTTGATTTTCATTATATAACCATTTAGTACAAAAGTAGCCAACCGTAATTAAAGCATGGACAAAACCATTAAGGAAATTGGTAAATTGAGGTTCTATTTCTTAAACATGTGATAAGGTAGAGACATACCAGGGCATGTAGTTAAAAGTTCGAATTCCTTGATCACCGCCTCAATGGGTTCAACGGCCTAAACAGATCAAAAAAGTTAAAATTTTCAAATAGAGATTAATAAAATTGGGCCAAATTGATGAGAATGTCAAAAATATGGAGGTGCCGATAACCTACAATTGGATAAATAAGGGATCTATTAAACAATTTAAGATGGAAATCACAGACTGAGAAGATACTTGAATACAACACTAAACGATCATAAAAGGTTAATGGAAAGAAGTTTCAATTATAAGGAAAGGAATTGTGTAACGACTGTCTTTTGAGGTATTGATTATTAATTATTTCTTAAATTATTATTGGGCCAAATATGGATAAAAAGGACTATTGGATCGGACTTAAGCAAATAGGCCAAAGAATTGGCCCGCCCATAAGACGTACGCTGGGCGTACCCTTGGTGTACGCGAGGCTTAGAGGCATGCATTGGATACGAGGGGCGCATGCACGTACGCGCAGCGTACCTGGAGTACGCGCAGCGTACGTGAGTAGATGCTAAAACCCTAATTTTTAGGGTTTAAGACATATAAATACCCCATTATAGCCACCCCCGACCTCCCTACCAGCCCCTCACCCTCAGAAAACCCTAATACGCCTCATACTCCATTGTTGTGTGATATGGGCTTATTTAGTCATAAAAATCATGCATGATCTTAATACTTTATGTTAATTTTATCTCAAATAATGAACCAAAGGTGCTTAATTAGCTTAAATATTTCATTTTCAGCAACAAAGACATGCTCGAAATGAAAAGGAAGCGGATTTAGCAATTGAAAGTTTGGATCTTGGATTTTGAAGAAAGAAGCATGTTGCTGGACAGCTTGACCCCTCGTCATTGTTTTGGCAATATCTCATGAACCGTAACTCCGATTGAAGAGATTCAAAATGTTCTGAAAACTAGACAAAATTTTGGACGACTTTCATGTTTTGAGAAAATGTTGATTC